CAATCCCTCGCTCACAACTTGAATGCCGTTAGTTCACAGAGCAGAATTTTTGCTCACAGGACTCCACAGCTTAGAGGGAGCATTGCGCAAATTCCACTTGGTGAGATGCCGGCATTGAAGTTGTGAGCGAGCGATTTGGCTGCTGCATAAATCAGTTTGCTCTGGAGCCCTCCTTCTTGAGCGGAGACAAAAATGTGTGAGCCGGAGGCTAAAATACTGTGAGCTAGCTCACACGAACGCAGCTTAGGGGGATCACTGCCCACGCCCCGGCCGGGGAACACAAGGGGTGAGGGGTACCCCTCTTGGACGGCATGCTACTCATCAAAAGAAGGAGGCTGTGTCGGGGGGGGGGCAAACTCCTTCCAGCTCTCCTCCAGTTTCAGTCACCAGTGTTCCCTCTAAGCTGAGTCAGTGTGAGCCAGCTCACAGTTTTTGAGCCTCCGGCTCACGCATTTTTGTCTTAGCTCAGGAAGGAGGGCTCCAGAGCAAACTAATTCATGCAGTAGCCAAATCGCTCGCTCACAACTTTCATGCCAGTAGTAGCTCACAAGGTAGAATCTTTGCTCACAGGACCCCGCAGCTTAGAGGGAGCCTTGGTCATCACCGCCCACCAGCACACCAGGGTGACACGCTCCCCCCCCCACACGCATGGTCCAGCAAAGGATCCGCAGGCCTTTGGAGGGCCTCTCCCCCCCCAGCCCAGCCTTCCTGCCAAAAGCCCTCCCTCCGCTTCAGACCAACCTGCCCGGCTCTTCATGTCTGCTCTGAGCTGTAACAGAAACACTGACTAAGCAGCACTTAAGAGGGAAGCTGGCATTCCCCCCCCTGCCCCCTGCCGACAAGGCCCAAAGGCGGCCCTTCTCTCCCTCTCCCTCCCCGTCTCACAGATGGCCCCGGGTCCTTAAATCTGCCCGGGGGTCCCTTGTGCTGAGCCTGTGCCCCACACAATGCTCACAAAGCCCCGCCCCACCTCCCTGGCACATGGCAGAGATGCACAAAAGGGCAGCCCCCCCACCAGTGTCACCACCCCCCCCCACGTGACTCTGACCCCTCCATAGTCGGTGGGGCAGGAGGAGAGAATGGAGACCCCCGGCCCGGCTTTTCACCCCACTCAAAGGTTCCTTTTGCAACGCTGCGGGAACAAAAGTGTAACGAGGCAACCCTCCCCCCACATGGGGGGGGAGACAGCTGCCACTGAATGGCCGGAGGGGGGGGGGTCCCCCAACAGCTGTGTGTGTCCTGACCCCCCCCCCACCCCGCCCCTTTCCAAGCCCAGCCCAGCCCAGCCCTGTTCCAACACACCAGCTGGGCCAGGGCTGGGCAAACATTTGGCCAAGGGGGGATTGTTTCCTCAGCTGCCGCCGGAGAGCGAAGAAGGAGCCCCCCTCCCCCAGTTGCATTGACACAGTGGCCAAGGGGGGCTTTGGCAGATGGGAGCCCTTCTCTGACATGCTGAGGGGCTGGGGGGTTCCCCCCCCCACTCCCATCCCTAAAAAAAGGGAGATGCGGCAGAGGAAGGTGCCCTGGCCCAGAAGCAGTCCTTGGGCCAGCGGGTGGGTGTTTGGGGGGGGGGGTCTTGCCATCAGAAGGGCCTCTTGCAGGCACTGCCCCCCCCCCCGTCCTAGACTGCTCCGTTCACACGTCCAGGCACATTCTGGGCTTCCACAAGAACAGTGATCCAGACAGTCTATGGCCCATTCGGCTTGAAACCAGATTCAGATACCCCGAGGCCAACAGAGTCACCCCTGAACAGCCATAAAACGACCGTAAATCTATGCAGACGGTGCCATAAAACCGAGATATCAGAGGGACTGAACACGGCGT